CATCCCCTTCACCTTAATGTTCTTCCAGAATGGTCCTTAAAGTATCAGTGTCCCTAAGGATCCTTACTGCTCACTTTGAAAACTACTGGTATATATCCATGAAAACGCAAAGGCTTTCACTTAGGAGGTACAAGAGCACAACTTTTAAAAGGTTTTTTTGTGGGACATAGGGTATTGTTTATTTTGCTTTTTAGTATAATTATAAGACCCTGAATGAATAAAATGCATGGTCTCAGTCTACAAATATACCTGATATTTCTGGATTGAAACTGATGCAAATGTACTTTAAGAACTAAAATTTTTTCATTAGTAAAATACTATTCTCATCTGCCAAATTCTTGAAAACCAAAGGATTTAGCTATGATAAAAAGGCTATGTTCCCTTCTCTCTCTCTCTCTCTTCCTCTCTCTCCCTCTCTCTCCTTACCCTCCCCTGCCCAAACATAGCCATTCATTCCAACTAAAACACCCTCCTTAGGCTGATGACCTGTTTGTCTCTACCAAAACTTGGCCATCCTCAGAGGATGTACATTGCTCTATTCCTCTAAATCAAAGCTATACTGCCTTCCTCCAGGATTGCAGGACAGGTATTTCCATTTTCTCTCCATTTACGATTACTGATCACAGTGCTCCTCTTACTCTGTTCTTTAAAAATAATCTTTGTTGGGGCACCTGGGTGGCTCAGTTGGTTAAGTTTCCGACTCTGAATTTAAGCTGATGTCATGATCTGGCAGTTTGTTAGATGGAGCCCCGCATCGGGCTTTGTGCTGACAGTGCAGAGCCCACTTGGGATTCTCTCTCCCTGTTCCTCCCCTGCTTGTGCGTGCGCTCTCTCTCTCTTTCTTTCTCCCTCCCCCCCAAAAATAAATAAACTTAAAAAATAATAAATAAATAAAAATCTTTGTTTCTTTGAGGAGCCACCATAACACTACATCTGCCTTCAAGTTGCAATCGTGTTAGATATCTTGGTCACCCCCTTTGATTCACTGAATAATTTATTACCTGATTTTATATTCTTTCTTTACACTCAAACTGCTGCTATCATTCATAGCAATTTCAACGTCCATGTTGCCAAAAACTCACACTGAGTTCTTTGGCCTGTCCCCACCACCTCCACTCCATATCAACCTGGACCAAGTCTTAAAAACTGTACTAATTCCAAAGTCAAAAGTGCAAACCTCCTTTTCCCTCAACATGGCCTTCTTTCCTTTCAAGTTCTTTTCCCTAATACTCACACTAGACCAATTACTATCTTCAATCTATGGATGGTTCTTTATCCGCCATTCTTCTTTTTATCACTTTGCTTCATGATTACCCTGATTCCATTAATCCCTCCTTTTATGTTCTTCCTTGAAAACCCCCTCCAGTTCCTTGCCCCTCTCTCATTCCATTGTATATGCCTTGAAAACCTCCTTCTGTGTCGAAACCAACCATTTGCTTTTTCCATTCCTGCATCCACTTAACCTAACTGGAAAGAATCACAGAAGCTGGCAAGTTATTTTCACCTTAGCTTCATTAACTCAAACTTAACTAGATCTTTAGCATTGCCCAGTAACTGTGTAGTTTTCCACTCTCCAAAATAAATAGTTTAGCCTTTCTCCTCTCTCTTTAAACCTCCTTATTTGGATCCTTTCTCCTTACCCTGAGCTTATGATCTCACCTCCTGTGTTCCTGAGAAAAATAATAAACATCAAGCAGGAATTCCCTTCTCTTCTGCTACCAAATTATGAACCTGCTACATCTCATCTTCTCTCTTGTTATGTCTTCAGGAGAGTCTTCCCTCCTACTGAAGGACCATCCCTCTGTGTGTACTCTTTGCTTTAGCTACTAGAAAATAAGCCATGAAGGCAAATACTGTCTCTTCTGTTTTCATCATCGATACACTTCATACCTTATACGGTGCTTGGTGTAATATACATTTGTGCATATTATTTATATCTGTATGTTCATGTGTGAGAGACAAAGGCAGAAACAGAGGGGTGTGTGCATGCTGTATTTCTCCTTTTCTATTGCCTCTGATTTTTTAACTGAATATCTTTTATTTTTATTTTTTATTTTTTTTTTAAATTTTTTTTTTTCAACGTTTATTTATTTTTGGGACAGAGAGAGACAGAGCATGAACGGGGGAGGGGCAGAGAGAGAGGGAGACACAGAATCGGAAACAGGCTCCAGGCTCTGAGCCATCAGCCCAGAGCCCGACGCGGGGCTCGAACTCACGGACCGCGAGATCGTGACCTGGCTGAAGTCGGACGCTTAACCGACTGCGCCACCCAGGCGCCCCTAACTGAATATCTTTTAAAAGATTATGGCATCCAAAGCTACAGTGATACCTTTCTGTTTCAGGAAAAGTGCCAGGTTATCAGGTTATCATGCAGAAAAGATAGAAAAATTATTCCTAGTCTTCTGTAGAAATCAAAACTGCTGAATATAACATCCCATACAGAGTAAGTATAATAAGTCTGTAATGTACTTACCAAGCTCTGAAATTGCATTCATTTGGAGCATTAATTTTCCAGAATAATTTCAGTTGGTTCTAATATGAATAAAAGTGCATTACCTGTTTTAATACTTGAGGAGGAGAGCAGAATTAGTCTGGCTCCTGATCTTCACGTGGGGGTGTGAGCATTGTGGAGCATGTGAGTCTCACAATGATGAGGTGCTCCTCTTACGTGCAGTTCAAATAGGAACAAAAACCTGAGGCAACTAGATTTTCTCTAAATGTGAGCACTGTGCTTTAAGAGCATATTATGATTTTTTAGTCTTGAACTGCAGCTATTTAGATGACCTATTCTGTTTCCAGAAACCTGCTTAAAGACCTTGCTGGAGAGCCAAGGTCAACCAAAACCAAAACACAATAGATGAAAACAGATTATAAATATATGGAAGATAGCCAGGTTCTGTGAAGCCAAGGCAATAGACAGGTTGTAGCAAGAGGCAAGGGATGGATCTTGGAGTCCCCAAAAAATCATGGTTAAAAATGGAGCTGGAATACATAAAGGTCAGCATCAATCTAAATCAAACTAGTGTCTCTTAACATTTCTCAAATGTGGAAGAGGTAGAGTAGTGTTTGGTTTGTAGAGGGTTTTCTGTCAGAGTGCATCCTGAGTTAACAGAGAGGCTGGAGTGATGTCAAGAAAGTAAATAAACAGAGTGTGATTTGATGATTTAAAAAAGAAGCAAAAATTTACTGTGGAAAAAACCTTAATGGGTAGTTCTTACTGGTTCAGAAATCTAATCTCAGCCTAGTCAGTCATGAAGTATCTCCATGGTCCCCCTAATGAAACTCTAACTGTAATTACTTTCTTTCCCTCACAAAAAAATCTTTGTGAGTATCGGGTGAAATATGCTTGAATGTATTTCTTATTCATTTAAGCTTCATTAACATCATTAAGCCTGAGATGTAGTTTCTCTAAGTGAAAGAAAAAAGAGTTACATATTCAGAACAGAAATTTACTTTTCACCTTTTACTGTCATTTCTTTTTCATAGATTCAAACATACTTCCATTCCTCCTTACAGTAGTGGTTCATGGAGGGATTTGGTGTTCTATAATTACCCTTAACTGATAGCAAAATTCTGTGTGCATATGCATTTTCCCCTTCGGAAAGAAAGTTCATAGCATTCTTCAGACTGTCAACACATCCCATGACCTGGCAAAGATGAACAATCTTTTCTCTGTAGCGTTGTTTTGTTTTTTTTTTTTTTTAAGACTCTCCAAGATGGAGGCACCATTTGTCTTCGTTGCATCCATTTCCCATGTGCTTGGCTTTCCTCGAGTCCTAAGTTATCACAGGATCCCTGCTTGGTTTTCTTTTAAAATATGTGTTCTTGAGTCTTGCTTCACTGTAAGGTATATGTTCCTAATGGTGACTTAAAAGTATTATTTGTGCATTTTTTAACAAGTTATCTGAGTATTAAATAATTAAACCCCTAAATTATGTTTCAAATAGTAGTCTATTTGAAGGGAACTTTTTTTTTTTTTTTGTAGAAACATATTATCTCTACTACTGAGGGCAGACTTTTGCTTTTTAAACAAAAATAAATATTATCAGCCTTATCTATGCTCTGCTTTGTGTTAAAGTTCTAATAAACTATCTTTATCCAGTATTCAGTCAGGTCTAAATGTAACATGAATTCCTGGAACAAGGTCACTTGATAGAAGTAAAACAAAATTCAAGGGTACTTCAGCTTCAATTTTTCTCATGTATACTAGCCATTTTTAATGTTCAATCTTTATTCTCCGTTAAAGTATAAAGAACTCCTTCAGATATTTTTTTTCCAAGAAGCCTTCACTGTTGTGCTCCATTTTCTACTTTTTCATTGAATAACCATTTCATACAATGTATGATCTAAACGAAATACAAACACCAATAGCTTTACAGCTACATGAGAGCTTCTCCTTGTTGTAAAGCATAATAACCAGTCCTTTTTATATGTATTTATCAAATGCCTGTTATGTGAAAAAAACATTACCAAGCATTCACATCATTTATCTCATCGGACCTTGAGTAATGCCATTTAGACAGAAAAATTAAATTGAGTAAGGAAGAAAGTACTTAATAAGTGGTGGTGTTGCTACCTCGTCCAGATTCCCTTCACCACACAAGCCAGTCCGACCACTCGTTGGCGGCTGGCTGTGCAGTCAGCTGCTACAGCTCACATTCATTTCTCCAGAGATTTGCCCTATCCCCAGGAGCCTAGTAAGATGTGCCTTCATTTCTCAAAGTGCTCCTTGGTCATTGCCTCACTAATACGCACATATAAGGACTCAGTCTCCTTGGTTCCAGGTGGAAAAAAGTCAGTGGTACGGTTTATGTTCCCGAGCTCCCTGTAGGGTCAGGCTGGGGCTAGATGCCTCCTGAAGATGTATCTTTGCTTAGCTTTTTCCTTTGTGCCATCTTGCTTCCCTCACTCCCTTATGGGTTTCTCTTCAGAACACACCATCAGGAAATAATTGCTAAGGAGTCTTGATCTTAGCCTCTGTTTCTAGAGAATCTGACTTCAGAGTAGAAACAGTGTTTTGGAATGTGTTCTTGTATAAACTGATTTTTTTTATTGTTTAACAATTATGTGATAACTATTGAGTTGCAAAAGACTTGAGAATTTTTCATCTTTGCTTCTCACAGCTGGGTAGTGAGTCCCACTAAGTGACTTAAAGGCCAAAACATTAGTTTGGAACAGAACCTAAACGCAAGTCTTCTGTTTTCCTGTTCTGAGGGTTCTGAGGTTTTCACATGATTATTACAGTTAGGAATATTTTTACTTTTATGAACCTGTGAATGAAGAGAATGACTCTTTATATAAGTGAATTTGTTAAATGTCCATGAAGTAAAGGATTATGAAACAATGTCAAATCATTCATACTTGCAGTGTTTAGTAATACCCCTGAAAACCCCTCTCATTGTTATCAGCACTCTGTCCCTCCCTGTCCCAAATAAAGATCTTGTTCCATCAGCCTCAGAAATTTTAATTTTTTTCAAAGATTATATAAGTATTATTTGAATGAACACTGATTCCCTGTACAAAGGGAAGATAATGAGTCTTGTAGAAATGCAACTATTAGTAAAGCATGCCTATTGGTGTACTAGTATGCATTGGTGTACTAGTATGCAACCTTTACAATCTGCCCATTTTCTGCAGTCTTTTTAAAAAATATTCAAGGGGCGCCTGGGTGGCTTAGTTGGTTAAGCTTCCAACTTCGGCTCAGGTCATGATCTCCCAGTTCATGGGTTCGAGCCCTGCATTGGGCTCTATGCTGACAGCTCAGAGCCTGGAGCCTGATTCGGATTCTGTGTCTCCCTCCCTCTCTCCCTTTCTGTCTCTCTCTCTGCCCCTCCCCTGCTCACACTCTGTCTCTCTCTCAAAAAATAAATAAAAATTAAAAAAATTAAAAAAAAATTAAATAAAAAATAAATTTCTTCCAGTTGGCACACAATGTTATATTAGTTTCAGGTGTACATATATATAGTGATACAACATCTTTCTATGTTATGCTGTGCTTACCACAGGTGCACTTACCATCTGTCACCATATGGTGCTTTTACAATATCATTGACCTTATTCCCTATGCTGTGCCTTTCATTCCCATGGCTTCTTCATTTCCTGTCTAGAAACCTGTATATCCCACTTCCCTTCACCCAATTTGCCTATCTTCCCACCCCCTTCCTTTCTGTAATCCTTCTTAAAACCACTTAAAAGAAATGTAAACTGTTACCAATATAGATACCTATTAATGTTACATTTATTTATTAAATAGGTGTATAAGTCAAACAAGCAAAAAACAAGATATTTGACCTTGTTGGGTACAGGTACTGAAGGAGAAAAGCTTTTTACCTCTTACAAGGCAATATTTCCATGCCCTCAGCATCCCCTAAAATAGACCTGAGCTGGATCTTAATGTTCTGAGTGTTAGAGATGCTTTTCATAAAGCAATCTGTTATGGCAAGTTATTGTTAAAGGCTCAGTTTCTGCTCCTGTTCTTGTATAAATGTGAGTGTGTGATTGCGGCCTTAAAGAATCACAGAGAATGCTCCTGAGTGGACAGGCCAAGTGGCTTTGATAGCTAAACACCTAGAGAGGCCAACAGACTGTTTGAAAAGCCTCGCCAACAGGGGGAGGTCTTAAAAGCAGGCCTGGACTGGAAGAAAAAGTGGGGAAGAAAAAAGGGGATCAAGGGGAGGAGAGAAGGTGCTTTCCAATGTCACGCAAAGCATACGTTGATAGAGAGCCAGAAAAGCAAATCAGGGTGGGCTGGTAAGTGCTAAGGATACAGAAAAACTCAACAGTCCTTAGTAACAGAACAATAGCAGAGAATCAGGCATTAGAATTCCCTGAATGGGGTGCCTAGGTGACTCAGTGGTTGAGTGGCCAACTTCAGCTCAGGTCATGATCTCACAGTCTGTGGGTTCGAGCCCCACATCAGGCTCCATGCTGACAGCCCAGAGCCTGGAGCTGCTTCGGATTCTGTGTCTGCCTTTCTCTCTGCCTCTCACCTACTTATGCTCTGTCTCTCTGTCTCTCTCTCAAAAATGAATAAACATTAAAAAAAAAAAAAAAAGACTTCCTAGACTTCCCTGAGCTCACATTAAAGCAAAGATAGTCTGGTTGAACTGGGTAAAAGGAGTGGGGAATTGAAACTTTAGAATCACCATGATTTTATATTCTCCCTTCAAGCAAAAATGCTGGAATGATTGGATATTCCATTTATGGGAGGAGATTTCCTTTAAAATCTATACCTAGCCAAGTCAAAGTCCTTTCTCTTTTTCTTTATCTCACACACTTATACAGTTTTCTCTAATAAACTCTGAAGTTCATGGGTATCAGATGTTGATCATAACGCATTCGGTTTCTGTGAACTAGGAAAAATCAATCATCACATCAAAAGTCAAATTCTAAAGGTCTTACTGTAGCATAGAATCATGACTACCTAGGTATTAGTAGAAAGCATTGCAAAGTTTCTGAGGGTGATGGAGTATTTTGGGAAATGGTATCAAAAATGAACAAGATTGAGACTTCCAGGAAAGATGGCTGGAGTAGGAGGATCCTAACTAAGCTCACCTTGTCCCATGAATACAACTAGATGACACCCACGTCAATCTAAATAACCCAGAAAATGACCTGAAGACTGGCAGAATAGACTCTCCACAGCTAAATGTAGGGAAGAGACCATATTACAGATGGTAGGAAGGGCAGAGATGCAGTCGGGAGCTAAATGGACCCACGAGATGGTCCCTGGGTGGGAGGAATGCTGCAGGCATAGAGAAGGGAAGGAAACAGATACCACAGGCATGGGAAGCCCACACAGGGAAGAAGAACCCCATAACATTTGGCTTTGACAACCAGAGGGGCTGAATTTCATATGTTCTTAAAATCAGTGGAGCTTAACACCTGGAATTTTAAACATCACCTGGCTCCCCTGAGGGAGAGCCTGGAGGACAGAGTCCCCACCCTTAAAGAGACAGCACAGTAAACAGCCCTGTGGAGACAGAGCCTAGAAACAGCAGTTTGAAAAATGCTTGGCAAATACAGGGGAGAGATTTGTTTACTGATCTCAGAGCATGTACTGGAGGTGTAGAGATCTCTAAGGGACTTATCTAGGAACAAAGACGTGGTTGGTGCCATTTCCATTCTGTACCCCCAGTCTAGACACACAGACCTGTGGGAACTAACATGGAGCCAACACTCTGCTTAGCTTGCTAACACTGCTCACTTTGTCCCCATGCTCTTTTGCAAACCTTTCCCTCCAATGCATCCTGCTTCAGTCCCTCATCCCCACAGGTCCCCTTCTGCAGTGGACCAATTCTGACCTTGCTGGCACTGGGCGCCTATTCCAAGTTTTCCTTCGGACCTGCCCCCTCCAGTATGCACTTGCCTAGAGCCCATCCAAAGTGGTGCCACAAGCATGGCAATAAGCAAACAAGCAGCCCCGACAGGGGTCAGCTCCATTCCAAAGTGACCCCTACACGTAGGATAGAAGATAACCACACACACCAGTCCCACTGAAGCCCCAGCAGTGGGCTTGAGGCAGACCTGTGGTCTAACTGCAGGCCCCACCCACCGATGAAAGCTTCTCAGGGCACGACACAGGGAGAGTGCCCAGCAGTTCATTGCTACCGCATCTCTGGCAAATGCCTGGTCTGACTCAACTCAAACCCAAGGTGAACCAAGACTGGTGTACTAACAACACAAGGACCAAGCCCTGCCCACAGTAGGCAAAGAGAGCTATTGCAGAAAACTGAAGAGAAGGGAAAAGCAGTTCAGCCACAACAGCAGAGCACATGCAACACACATAGGAGGTACTCCTGAAGCACCAGATACTGGAAAATAGGCAACATTTCACTGCAGGGCACTACAGGACCTCTTCTTCATAAGGCCACTCCTTTCAGGAGCAGGCGATGTAGCTGACTTTCCTAACACATGGAAACAGACACAGAGAGTTAGACAAAATGAGGAGACAGAAAAATCATGGCCCAAATGAAAGAACATGACAAAATCACAGCAAGAGAGCTAAATGAAACCAAGAAAAGAAATATATCTGATACAGAATTTAAAGTAATGGTAATAAAGATACTCACTGTACTTGAGAAAAGAGTGGAGAACGTCAGTGAGACCATCAACAAAGAGATAGAAAAAATAAAAAAGAACCAATCAGAGATGAAGAACTCAAAAACTAAAATTAAAAATACACTAGAGGAATTAGAAGAACAAGTCAGCAACCTGGAGGACCGAGTAATAGAAAGCAATCAAGCTGAACAGGAGAGAGAAAAAATAATAAAAAATGAAAACAGGCTAAGGGAACTCATTGACACCATCAAGCATGATAACATTTGCATTATAGGGACCCCAGACAGAGAAGAGAGATAAAAGGGGGTAGAAAATTTATTTAAAGAAATAATAGCTGAAAATTTCCTAATCTAGGGTAACAAAAATCCAGATCCAGGAGGCACAGAGACAAAACAACCCAAGGAGGGTCACACCAAGATACATAGTCTTGGCAAAACGTAGTGATGAAGAGGAATTTTGAAAGCACCAAGAGAAAAGAAAGGAGTTATATATAAGGGAAATCCCATAAGGCCATCAGCTGATTTTTCACTAGAAACTTTGTGGCCCAGAAAGGTGGCATGATATTTTCAAAGTGCTAAAAGAAAAAAAACTTGCAAACAAGAATATTCTATCCGCCAAGACTGTCATTCAGAATAGAAGGAGAGAGAAAGCAAAATTCCTCAACAAAATATTAGTAAATCGAATCCAACAGTACATTAAAGAAATAATTCACCACAATCCAGTGGGATTTATTACTGGGATGCAAGAGTGGTTCAGTATTCACAAACCAATCAACATGATACATCACATCAACAAGAGGAAACATAAAAATCATATCATTTCAGTAGATGCATAAAAAGCATCTGACAAAGTACAACCTCTATTCATGATAAAAACCCTCAACAAAGTATGTTAAGAGGGAATATATCTCAACATAATAAAAGCCCTATATGAAAAACGCATAGTGAACATCATACTCAACGTTGAAAAACTGAGAGCTCTTCCTCTAAGATCAGGAACAAAACAAGGATGTCCATTCTCACCATTTTTATTCAACATAGTACTGAAAGTCTTCTCCATGGCAGTCACACAAGAAAAAGAAATAGAAAGCATCCAAATTGGTAAGGAAAATTTTTCAGTATTTGTAGAGGATATGATGCTATTTTTGAAGACCCTAAACACTGCACCAAAAAACTACTGGCACTGATAAATTAATTCAATAAGGTCACAAGATACAAAATCAATGTATGGAAATCCGTTGTATTTTTGTACACTAATAATGCAGTAGCAGAAAGAGAAATTAAGAGAATAATCCCCTTTACAAGTACACCAAAAATTACAAAATACCTGGAAATAAACTTAACTATGGAGGTGAAAGACCTGTACTCTGAGAATGATAAAACATTGATGAAAGAAATTGAAGACAGCAGAAACGCTTGGAAAGATGTTCCATGCTCGTGGATTGGAGTAATAAATAATGTTGAATTGTATATAATATCCAAAGCAATCTACACATTTAATACAATCCCTATGAAAATACCAACAGTATTTTTCACAGAACTAGGACAAATAATCCTGAAATTTGTGTGGAACCACAAAAGACCCCAAATACCTAGAGCAGTCCTGAACAAGAAGAACAAAGCTGGAAGTATCACAATTCCAGATTTCAAGATATACTACAGAGCTGTAGTAGTCAAAGCATTATGGTACTGGCACAAAAAATCGATACATAGATCAACAAAGCAGAATAGGAAGCCCAGAAATAAACCTATTATATGGTCCATTAATCTTTGACAAAGCAGGAAAGAATATACAATGGGAAAAAGATTGTTTCTTCAACAAATGGTGCAGGGAAAACTGGACAGGTACATGCAAAAAAATGAATAAGTAAAACTGAACCACTTTCTTACACCACACACAAAAATAAAGTCAAAATGGATTAAGGACCTAAATGTGAAACCATAAAAATCCCAGAAGAGAACATAGGCAATAATTTCTTTGACATAGGCCCTAGCAACATTTTTTCTAGATAGATCTCCTGAGGCAAGGGGAACAAAAGCACATGTAAACTAGTGAGACTACATCAAAATAAAACGCTTCTCCACAGCAATGGAAACAATCAACTAAACTAAAAGACAACTTACTGAATGGGAGAAGATATTTGCAAATTACATATTCGATAAAGGTTAGTATCCAAAATATGTAAAGAATTTGTAACAACTCAACACCCAAAAAACAAATAGTCCAATTAAAAATGGACAGAAGACACGAACAGACATTCTACAAAGAAGACCTATAGATGACCAACAGACACATGAAAAGACGCTCCACATCACTTATCATCAAGGAAATGTGAATCAAAACCACACTGAGGTACCACTTCACACCTGTCGGAATGGCTACAATCAAAGACACAAGAAACAAGTGTTTGTGAGGATGTGGAGAAATAGGAATCCTCCTGTACTGTTGGTGTGAATGCAAACTGGTATGGTTATTATGGAACACAGTAAGGAGGTTAAAAATTAAAAATAGAATTATCATAGGATCCAGTAATTCTACTACCAGGTATTTACCCAAAGAAAACAACAACACTAATTTGAAAAGATATAATGCTCCCCTGTTTTTATTGCAGCATTATGTATAATAGCTAACATGTGGAAGCAGTCCACATGCCCATCGAGAGGTGAATGGAAAAAGAAGAAATGGTACATATGTACAAAGGAATATTACTTGGCTATAAAAAGAGTGAAATCTTGTCATTTGCAACAACATAGATGGATCTAGAGCGTATAAAGCTAAATGAAATAAATTGGTTAGAGAAAGACAAATACCATAAATCTCACTCATACGTGGAATTTAAGAAACAAAACAAATGAAGAAAAAAAAAGCGGCAAACAAGAAACAGACTCTGAACTGCAGAGAACAAATTGGTGGTTACCACAGGGGAGATGGGTGGGGGGATGGGTGAAATAGATTAAGGGGATTAAGAGTGAATTTACCATGATGAGCACTATGTAAGGTATAGCACTGTTGAATCACTATATTAACACTAATATAACACTGTATGATAACTATTATGGAATTACAAGAAAATTATCAAGATTATTGCAGGACAGAGCTCCATTCCATTAAAAACTGAGTTCTTTAGAAATTCAGTTACTGTGTATAACATGCCTACATTGGTAAGTTTGTTCTTTCCTAGTTTATTGCTATGTCGGGACTGACAGCAAGCCCAAAGTGCTCCAGGGCACTTCATCCATAAACCAATAATATATTCACTTTCTGAAAAAAAGATCATGTACAGTGAGTTGATTAACTGTTGCTTAGTTGTAAATATGGAGTAGATACTCTTCTGAACTCCTTATTTGTTCCTAATGTTGTATAAAGAATATATGATGAAATTGACACTGACCTGAAGTCCCGTGATTCCTCCATACCAACTTTACTAAAAGAACAGAGAATAGTGAGTTTAGACAAGTACTTATATGGATAAAATATTTCTTTTAAGGGTCATCCTTATATCTTGTCATCTTTTAGCTTTCTCTTGCTTCTAACTTCTCAGATATGTAAATGGACCAGAAAAGAGCCAGGTAGCTTTCTGGCTTTCACACTGAAGATGAAAGATAAATGTACACTAGTATTTTCTCCTTAGATCTGTAACCATTTGGATACCAAATCTTCTCCTTTTTTAATACATATACACAATAAAAGTCATCCAAGTGGAGGTTGCTTATGTGTTCATTCATTCAAGAGCATTTTATTACTCACGTAGTTAAGTAGAAAGCACTGTGTTAGGAACTAGCGGTGTAGAGGTAAATAAAATGAGGGTAGTTCTTTTCCTCACTAATTCAGTATCTAAAGTAGCTAATTACAGGGGTTTCATGGTTTAGCATCTATTGGAAGCCCTCCAAGAGGCTTGGATGGGGGGGCATCTGTAGGTCGTTCACATGAAATGTTAACTCCTCCTCGGCTTTATTTAGCAAGTTAAACTTAATGCCATCAATATAGGCAATTAGGAATCAGAAGGTGGGAAAGGACATTTAGGCACAAAGTCATCTATCACAATAAATTAGTTAATCTTTTCAACTCATTGCTTTTGAAGTGACCCTCAAGAGTTAGTGGGCATCGGTATGGCCTAATGTTTAAATACAGTTTAAAGTCATATGTTGATATTTTCAACAGCTCCCATTCCATTAGGCAATGTATCCTCAATTTCAGTATTTTCTCTGTAACAGGCATTAAAAAATAGTGATTTCCTTTTTCTATAGACCATAGGAACATAATTCTTTTTAGACGAGACACCATTGTGTCATTAGATATGGAATTTGTGCATTATGAACTGGACAGTTCCAGGAATTCTATACCTAAGTTTGAGTTTCACCAGAAGTACATTGTGAGACATAAAATGGGTACAAGTGTTAATTTGGGAGGTAATTAGAAGAAGTACATGGAGGAAAATAGGGAAAGTGAGACAGGGAAAGGAAATACTTACTGAAAGGGTTTTCATGAATAGGTTATCATGGTGGGCAACTGGGGATCAGTCCTATTGGGGACCCTTTGAGGAACCATGAGGAACATGCTTTAGAAATAATTCCATCAGGGGTGCCTGAGTGTCTCAGTTGGTTGACCGCCTGACTTTGACTCAAGTCATGATCTCATGCTTCATGGGTTCAAGCCCCGCTTCGGGCTCTGCATTGACAGCTCAAAGCGTGGAGTCTGCTTCACATTCTTTGTGTCTCTCTCTGCCCCTCCCCTGTTTGTTCTCTTGCTTTTTCTCCCTCCCCCACCCCTCAAAAACAAATAAACATTAAAAAAAAGAATAGTCCATCAAAGGACAAAATAAGATGAAGTATTTTTCCACCAACTCTCAACTGTCGTTGATTGAGTGTAGTTCCTGGGGTAATTAAGCCTTAGACTCTTATAGGCTTCCCAGCAAGCGGGCTGAACAAGCTCTCCAGAGAAAGCCCTTGGAGAGAGAGGCAGCCACTTGAGGTGAAGTTGTCAGTCACTGGGAACTGGTCACCACAGCTGCAGGTTCATTTAGAGGTGGGCTGAGGGGGACAGAACATTCACAGCATTGGCATCTGCTGGGAACAAATGGCTGTAAACTGCATTTAGTTGAAGGAGAACTGTGGTCGCTCAACGTTTCACACAAAATGTTGCCCCATAGGCTGGGCCACAACTCCCCCGCAACAGCACTTCATTTTCTGTAACGCATCCAAAGAAGAATCATGTGAACGTGCACTTAAAGCACTTAAACTATCCTCTCACAGTAATGGTCATTTCAGCAGGGAAAAAAAATTGCATGCTATTATTCTTTCTATCCTCTACCTTGGACTTTTCTAAGGATTAAAAGAGAGAGGTTTCATGG